GTTTGTCTCTGTTAGTTTATTCAAAAATAAAGAACATGGAAACAATTTTATAGCTTATTTTTTAGTGTTATCAAGTTTTTTAGTGTTGTAATTAAATATAATATAAATTCAGTACTTCATTTTCGAAAATGTAATGATGATTATAATAAAATAAAGATACTATAAGATATCGAAAATTTACAAGCGCATATCAACCCAAACAGGGCAGAGAATCATCACCTACCCCTCACTCATACGCAACCCCAATATACATACACACAAATAGGGATGGACCAAACCGGGCCGCCCCGGGCCTGAACCGGCCCGGCCCGCCACTGTGCGGACCCGGCCCGGCCCGGTTAAGGATAGGGAGGTTCGGGCATTGACCCGGCCCGGGGAGGGGAGCGGTTCGGGCACGGTTCTGGAAATTGGCGGCCCGGCCCGGTCGGTTCGGACCCGGTTCGGGCCAACAGCTAGATTTAAAAAAAATACTTTTGGCCATCCAAACAGGCCTTAGAGTCGTTTTGATTGAACCCAAACGGCTATATAGCCGTTGGGAGCCTTCCAGGGGGTCCCGGGGTGGGTTAGGGGGGTGGGGTGGGGGTGGGGGTACAAAAAATCTATAAATACTCCATTTTTTCTGTACAATTTACTACACATCTTCTCCAAATATTCCTACTCTCTAATCTCTATTCTCTACTAATCTTCTCCATCTTCATCTTCTCAAATTTATAACTACATATATTATATTTATTATCTACTTATATTAATATCTAATTATTATATTATTGTTACTTATATTTATTTACTTATATTTACATATTACTTATATTTACATATATAATCATCTCTAATTTATTTACTTATATTTACATTTTAGATATACTTAATGTATACTTATATATATTAAAGTATTATATATAAGTGTATTACTAATCTTATAGTAATATACTTATATTATATATACTATAAACGTAATATTATATATTACTAGTTAATCTACTTATTATCTACTTATAAATATATATATATATATATATATATATATATATATATATATATATATAAAGTATATATACTTATACACTTATTATCTAATTGTTACATTTATTAATTTCCTATCATAGTAGTTAATTGTTACATTTATTATTCTCCTATAAAAACTAGTTAATTGTTAAACTTGTTAAATAAAGTTGTTAGATTGTAAAACAAATAGTTCGAATTTTGTTAATTCGAAATTAATTATTTAATTGTTAAATTATTTAATTGTTACATTTATTAATCTCTTATCATAGTAGTTAATTGTTACATTTATTAATCTCCTATAAAAACTAGTTAATTGGTAAACTAGTTAATTCGAAATTAATTGTTTGATTGTTAAAGTAGTTAATTGTTATTTTGTTACATTTATTAATCTCTTATCATAGTAGTTAATTGTTACATTTATTAATCTTCTATAAAAACTAGTTAATTGGTAAACTAGTTAATTCGAAATTAATTGTTTAATTGTTAAACTAGTTAATTGTTTCATTTATTAATCTCTTGTCATAGTAGTTAATTGTTACTTTTATTAATCTCCTATAAAAACTAGTTAATTGTTAAACTTGTTAAATAAAGTTGATAGATTGTAAAACAAATAGTTCGAATTTTAGTTAATTGGTAAACTAGTTAATTCGAAATTAATTGTTTAATTGTTATTCGAATTTAATATTTGTTATATTTTTAATATGAAGCGTGGTAGAGCTTCTGTAGATATGGGTAACCTCCGCCGCAACCGAACAAAGGATATTGCGAAGAATCATCCAAGGTCACGCAAAGGTAAGGGAGGGCCGGGGTCTTCATCTCAAACCCGAGATGATTTTGATGTGGATTACAACCAAAGATATGGGGATGCGATGTCCGATGAGCAACTAGAACAACTATTCCAACAAAATCAAGGAGGTTTTTTTCATCAACAAGACATCCCGCAAACCATTGGCGAAGAAGAGCTTGAGGATGATGATGCGGAGGAGAGGGATCCGCGAACGGTCGAGGACGAGGTTCATGGCACACCGGATGATGAGGAAGAGGAAACGGAAGCGGCTACTTTTTCCCAAGCCGGTGGGAAATCTGAATTTGTCTTTAAGACAAATTTTACAAAAGTTAAAGACCTCGAGACCGAGATACGGTACGCCACTTGCAAGCATTGCAACAAAAAGTATAACTTGGGAATTTATGGAGGGTACGGGAGTGCCACAAGGCATCTTAAGGCCAAGCACCCGGCGGAATATGCGAAATCGGACAAAGGCAAGGGAAGGCAAACACAAATTTCAAGGTTTGCAACTGGCCAACCCTTTGGTAATTTCTCCTATGATGATCAAAGACATTTGACTGGTATGTCTCATTTAATTGTTGAAGAAAATTTGCCTTTTATTTTTTCTGAAAGTCTTGCTTTAAAAGAATATGCTCAAGGTTCTGTAAATCCCCAATTTCGAAACTATAGTCGCAAAACAATTAAAAAAGAAGTTATAAGGCAATATGTTTTGGAAAAGCAAAAATTACAAACGTTTTTTGCAAACTTTGATGGACGTGTTAGTATATGTAGTGATATATGGGAGGATACTCATCATCATTTATATTATTTGGGTTTGACTGCACATTATATTGATGATGATTGGTGTATGCATAAACGTGTTCTTGCTTTTTGTGAATTTAATGATAGACACACCATTTATATTCTCATTGAGCGTATTTTAATTGAGTATAATTTGATTAATAAGGTGTTTGCAATTGGTTTTGATAATGATACTAATAATACTGCTGTTATTCCTAGATTGCGTGAATTGTGTGGTTCATCTTCTTTGATGGATAGGTTTTTTCATCAGCGTTGTGCATGTCATATTTTAAATTTATGTGTAAAGGACGGCCTAGCGGCGTTGGGAGATGCTATGGAGGTGGTGAAGGGGGGGATTAAACTTATTTGGGCTAGTAATCAACTTAAGATGCAATGGAGAAATTATTTGAAAGAAAGACGTGTCAAATATTGTGTTTTTCCTAAAGATTTGTCTATTCGTTGGAATAGTACTTATAACTTAATTAAGGTGCTTATTAGATTTAAAAACCATTTTCCTGCTTTTTTTAAAGAATATGTTAACTATATTATAAACCCGGCCGACATCGACACTTGTGAAAAAGTTTTGAATGTTTTGGTGTATTTTAATAATGCAACTCAAACTTTTAGTCATGTTTATAAACCTACCGCAAACCAATTTTTTGTTGAAACTGTTAATCTCGCCGGCGCTTTTTGTGAATTTACTGATGCCGCTTACGTTAGTTATTTTTGTGACTTCATGAAATAATAGTTTTTAAAATATTATTCCTATATTCCGCATATATATAGTATTGCATTTATTCTTGATCCTCGTTTTAGACTTGCTTCTTTGGAGCAATGTTTAGATTACTATTATGCTTCTTTTTTGGTCCATTGCCTATGTACGACGACAAGGCTATAGACCTGAAACAACAATTTCAAAAGGTTAGTAATTTATTATATCAATTATTTAATGAGTTTCGTGTACAATATGGTAACGCACCCCATCCCCCGTCATGAACATCTTCTTCATCTAAAGGAAAATCAATTTTGAAATCTGCATTTGGCAATGTTATGAAAAAAAAGTAAATCAACTCCAGTTAATGAACAAAGCTCGATCAACGAGCTTTCATTGTATCTAACATTTCCTGTTGAGTATGAAGAAGGGGATGACTTTGACGTTCTTCAGTGGTGGAAGGAAAAAAGAGAGAACGTCCCCGATCTTATCAAAGATGGCTAAGCAAGTGCTAGCAATGCCCGTATCAACAGTTGCTGTGGAAAAAGAGCTGAGTTTAGTGCGTCCGGCAACGTCCTAACGGATTATAGAACGAGATTGAGCGCAAACTCTTTTGAGACGCTTGTTTGCTTCCACGATTGGTTGAAGGACAAACGTAGAACTCAAGAAATTAGTATTGAACCCACCCGCCACTTTATGGAAGAAACAACCGAAGATGGCGGAAATTCTGATTGATTCTTATTTATTAAAAAGTGTATTTCATGTTGTAATTTTAGCTCAATTTCCAATTGTACTGCATATTTCAAATAAATACTATCCTCCGTTTTGTTTTAATCGCAGCATATTGAATTTTACACTATTCACATGCTCTACTTTGACTACATTTACGCTATTATTTTATGAAAATTATTTTTTTTAAAAATATTATTCAATTCATCTCATTTTAAATTTTCAAAATCTGATTTTTAATATTATTTTTACTAATAAAATTAAGATATGATTACGGTCAAAGACGCGTGTTGGCAAATGTGAAATGTTGACCGTTGCAACTAAAAAAGAACGGAGGGAGTATATTTTAAATTTTTTATGTCCAACTAATCTGAATTTAATTTAAAAAAAAAAATAAATAGCCCGGGCCCGGCCTGAACCGGCCCACTATCCGGCCGGGTATGCCCGACCCGGACCGGACCCGGTATCACCCCGGGCCGGTTCCGGGCCCATGATTCTACAAAAAAAGCCCGCCCGAGCCCGGCCCGGAACCGGACCGGCCCGGGTCCATCCCTACACACAAACACATACTACCTTTATCCCAAACAATTCTTACCACTTACCTTTTTGAGATGTCCAAAAAAATCTAATTTCCCTTTTTGGAAAGATTTGTGTGTTTACCATTCATTTACTTTTTTCTTACTCAATCACAACAATACATTTTCACTTAATTCCCACTTTCTTAAACTCCGATCCAAGTCAAACCGGGAAGAATGTTTCGAGATGGAGGGAGTAATACACATGACTTTTTTAGACATACTACCTCCGTTCCAATGGACTTTGCACTCTTTGAATTAGGTAAGAAATAAGAATAGTGAAAATTATGTGGTTAAAGTTTGTGAAGAGGAGAGAAAAATAAACAGAATCACAAAATAGTTACTTTAATGGGAAAATGACAAAGTTTTTTGAAACTAACAAAAAATGTAAAGTTGGCAAAGTCCAATAAGACGGAGATACTATTATATATTCGTGTAGCAGCTATTTGTTACTATAGTATCAAACTGTGGCCAAAGTATAATGTGATTTTATATACACTGTTAGGAGTTTAGGACACAATTGAGTTGTACAAAAATACATCCATGAATAATGATGAAGATGAACTCAATACAAACAAGAAGCTCTTGGTCATTGGTCGGTTTCTCATCGGCTATACAGCAACCTCTTTAATACGTAGTAGTATACAAAGAGAATCAATGCATAAGGACCCTTGTAAACCAAAGCCATTTCCCCTCATTCGTCTTTACCTCAATCTCTTTTCTGACAACAGGGATCAATAACAACCCAGCAATGAATAATGACAGAATAAGCATGAAAAAGACGCTATTCCATCCTCTAGTTGAAATATATCCAGCAAGGAGTGGGCCCAAAGCAGCTCCAGCTGAACCAGTCCCGTCTATGATTGCAGTGACAGTCGCCAATGCACGGGAATTCCCATTCGTTATGGCCTGAGTGCCAAGATCAGCCGCAACTGCCGTCGTGATGAGAGCGTAGGGCCCATTAACCAGCGAACCAGAAATGAGCATCAATGTCACATTAGTGAACATGGATATGCTTCCGTACATGCGATATAAAACAAGTGTTGGAATTGATAGCAGTAAGAATGCAGCTGACGTTATAGCTCGGGCTTCAATTAAATCGGAAATTACTCCTGCCAGGATTCCTCCAATCACCCCTCCAATATCAAATACTGATGAAATTATTCCCGCATTTTTGTGTGAGAGATGTACTCCCGCAACAGCTGCAGTTAAAGGGGGGACGGTAATAAACATAAGAACTTTGGTGAGGTGCATTTAGTTGAAACCAAGTTTCAAGGAATTGTGGGGAATGTTATTTTTAAAATGTATAGGATAAGAAGTATGTGGGAAACGCATAAAAAATATAGGAATACTTATAAATATATTTTCCACATATATGTATACATATTTTTCATATAAACTACATATAACAAAAGAAAAAATAGTCTACATGTCAAACACAAATATTATTCACATATTAGTACGTAACCAAATGTAAATTGCAATACATTCCTCCTACACACTGTTCTATGAAATGACAATGAATATGTTGCCGTGAATAAATCCTATAAAATCCATATTTCAGCCGAATGAGTTTACGTGTATTGTCAATGAATGGGTGATTGAGCTATATCATCTAAAACTGCAAGTTTATTCTCTTCAATAGGCTAAAGGATATATTACCATTTACCACATTTCACCGAGCATGCTTATATTTGCGCTATGAAATTTCAAAAAAAAACTATGTCACTCTGATTAAATACCATAAAACTCCAACCAGAAATCCAATAGAAAAATCATACTTCAGTCAATTGAGATTTGAGAGTGCTATATTGTGGATGAAGGGTAGACAAAGCTAAATTATCTAAAAATGTATTACTCCGTACTAGTTTTTGAAAAATCAGAGAAAATGGTAATATTTAAAAAAGAGAAATGCGAGTGTGACTCACTTTCATTGCAGCAAAAAGAATTGCACTATTATTACTACTATTATGATTATGAACCGATGCAGTTAATCAATATAAACATAGGCATGCAATAAGTAAGACTTAAATAACATGATGCAAGTGTTAGAGTAAACAGGTAAGCATACAAAGACATGAGTGGCTGGGTAAGCAAAGATATCTCCATAAAGGCACATCATTTTAGCAATGGCGAATCTGCAAATTGGTTTTATTCACCCTACCAAGTATATGGTTATCAAATATTGAGCAAGCATCATACCGGTGTGCCTTATGTAGAAGGGCAGCCAATACAAAAATGTGTAAGCTACAAGCTTTGAGAAGAACAGGCAGAATGCAAATTGTGCAACCCCAGGTAACTTCCATGCCTCTAAGAACCCAATAGCAACAGAGCTGCTTCCACCTTCATCTTCCCCTCCTGCTTCAGACTTCACCAATGCCACTCCCTCCACATTTGTCTCAACCACCTCTGCTGGAGTTTCAAGCCCTATATCTTCAGGGTTAACAATAAGAAACGAATAAACCGGGATTGCCACAACCACAATGAAAATCCCAGGCAACACAAAGGACCATCCCCAACCAAACCCTAAAACTGATGAGGCAACTAGGGAGCCTATAATGTTTCCTACTGAGGTATGGGAATTCCAAATCCCCATTATGAGTCCCCTTTTCGCCTTCCCAAACCAATTCCCTAGTACTGCCACCACACAGGGCCACCCTATTGACTGAAACAATCCGCACAAAACCTGAACCGCCATGAAAAAAGAAAGACTATGCACATCAAGAAAATAACCCAATCCAAATGATGTAACCAAAACTCCGCTTCCCACCATTCCCACCGTCAAGAAGAGCTTCAGATCAATGCTATCACCTATGTGACCTGCAAAATACATTCCCACCGAGTAGGATAACAGAAAGGCGAGATCAAGCTCGCCCAGCCTGTGAGGTCCGCTTGGGCCATCGAACGGTGCCCATCCGCTAGAATCCCCATCCGTCTTATGGCTAGTCGCGTTGAGGGTTTTTGGATCTGGACCGATAACGGATTTGACTATGCTTGGAGGCTTACGGGATGCGTGGAAGGCGGCGTAGGCTGTGAAGGTAAGGGTAAAGACCAAGATCTGATGAAATGTCATGGTCTTGTGTGGAGTATTGAGGGTTGGCAAGAGGCCGAGACCTGGCGGTGGCGGTTTAAACGGCGGCGGAGCAGGATAAAAGGTTTTGAGTTCCGCCATCAGTCTGGAGTACAACCCGATTTCAGTGTTAATCTGTGCAACGGTTCTTGAACAGTGATGATTTCATTTACGCGCAGTGCATACACTTGGATGAAGGCAGATCAAACTTTGATTCTGGATTTTCCGAGGGAACTGCAGGTCGTAATCCCTTTCCCTCGTTTGATTCGATTTAAACCGCGGAAAAGGCGGTGCTAACTCCCTTTACAATTTTGGTTTGAGTGAAGGCAGCTTGAAATGTGTTAATGGAAATGAAACCAGGAAGTACACAAAATAGGTATTTCGATGTTAAATCAGTATACTCCTGCACATGACGTTAAAAGATGCTGATGTGGCTATTAGAGCCGTTTGTTTTTTAAACGCTGGATTCCAACGCACCAATGACCCAACCTTGTAGTATATGTAACCCTAATTTCGTCTTCATGCCTGCGTATTTCATCCTCAAACTTCATCTATCTCTGCTATCTTGCTTTGTGTTCTCTTTGAAGGGTTATTAATTTTTTTATGACGAACCCTAGATTGTTGTTTAGTGTTCATCTTATGGGCTGAATTTACAGTCCACTTCCTCTGTTAATTTTTTGGTTTGTTTTTTCAGAATTTTGTTTTGAGAGATACAGACATGGCTCATGGAATTTGTGTATGTGGAATCCCTTTGAAGATGCTGACTTCATGGACAGATGACAATCCAGGGAGACGATTCCTTACCTGCTCAACATTAAAGGTATGACCTTGAAGTTTGCTCAAGAGTCACCTCACAGTTTAGTTCTTTCTTCACCATCTCTTTCATTGAGGCTACTTTCATCTCGGAAACACCAGGTTTTGTTTTGAAATAATTATTGACTAACCATTTGGTTGTTGCACTAGGTATTTGCCACCCTAGATTGCAGGTGTGCTCACTATTCAAAGTCTTTACAACCCATTTCTTACTACTACTTCTATTATCTATCCCAAAGTAAGTCATCCATGTGCATGTTTTATTTAAATTGGAACACTTGACCCTAAGCATGTTAGCACAGTTTTTAGCCCAATAGTAAGGATACCTGTTAGTGACAGAATATTTATCCACTGCCTCTTTGACTTGAGATTTGCATTCAAAGCCCATTCCTAATGAGAACTCAACTTTGTCATCTGTTTTGAAACTTGGTTTTCTTTCTAACGGGCTCTTCTTCTTCAGATTGTGGTCCAGACTTGTAACTGCATTCATCACTTGAGCTGAAATACTCAGTTTCATTCCCATCTTCCTCCACAACTAACTCCTCTTCATGTATGTTGTTGTCAGTAGATGTGTGTCATTTACTTTTAACAACACCCTTTTGATTAGTCACCAACTTCCTTAGCAGTACCCGACCATGTTGTAACTCCTCATCGCCTTCATTTTCAGGGTTGAATTCATCTTCAAACAATAGCCAAACTTCTGCCTCAAAAATTGGATAGCTTATAGGAAAACATATAAACGACGTTCAAAGTTGTCATCCGTTCTAAACGGGGTTCAAACTATGTGGTCTGTGGTTATGTTTATGTTAACTTCGGCCATTACTTCCTCAATACATATGGGTAAACAAATTTCGAAGATATAAATGCTTGCAGGGATGCATCGATGATGTATAGCAGAGTAAATGTAGATATCGTACCTTTCATCAGATATTTCAATCTCCGTCTTCAGATTACCACTTCAACACCTTAGTTACTCTCTCTTTAGGCCGAGAACTTCATCGTTTTTTGTCTTTGGAGTCTTCGTAAGAATAGGTTAGGGTTTCAAACGTGTAATAACCAAGCACTTAACGGGTGATGTGGACTAAAAAAGTCCAAATTGGTATTCCATTTGCCAAGTCACACGATTAACGTCTAAAGACGGTTAGTATACTGATTTAACACCGAAATATCTATTTTGTGTACTTCCTGGTTTAAGATGTAATATGAGGTACTCTTTATGCTACCGGCTACAACTTGATGTACTGAATTGACATTTTTCTCGAAATGAATTTGAATCAAGTCAAAGTATAAACGGCCTAATATTATACTCGTACTACGTATTTCGTTTCTCGGGGTATAGAACTTTATTAATACAAGTATATTAATAAAGAAGGTATGGGTGAGATTGATCATCGAAATTGCATAAAAAGGATCAAATAAGTCCTTATTGTCCGGCCATCACCATTTGGGGAGGTTCCTGGTGTAATTTTTTTAGCATCTTATTCATTAAATCGAGTTTACTCATATCAAATTTCAGCTAAAACTTCAGCCGGGAAGGCATTCAAATAAATTCTTGAAAGTAACTACGCAGTTATCTTCAAGACTTCATTTGAATGCCTTCCCGATTGAAGTTTTAGCTGAAATTTGGTATGAGTAAACTAGACTTAATGAATAAGATGCTCAAAAAATTTCATCAAAAATTCCACCGGGAACCACCCCGAATGGCGACGGCGGAACAGAGTCTCCTATATAAGGACTTATTTGACCCTTTTTATGCAATTTAGAGGATCAATCTGACCCTTAACTAATTAATAAAGATTCAAAAAAATTACAATGAAAGAAAGAAAAAAAAGAATACAAAATAAGTATCTTTTATTTATTTTGAAATGACTACAAAATATATATTTCCTGAAAACTGTGCACGAGAAAAAATCAATATCGTCGTATAAAGTTATAAATTGTTCTGATACTGAAGTGGACATTCTTCAACTACGAAATAAACGCATCAAATAAAATCACAAATTCATCCAAATTACCAATACCTCTAACCTAATGAATTGCAGATAGGTTTTAGAAAATTTGTGATCCAAAGATTTGCGGATTGTAATACTCGAGGGAACAATGCATAGCAGTGTGGGAGGTTGTCCTCGGTGGTTAAAAAACCAATGACTCAATTGGAACTCCTTGATGAGCGATCACCTTAGCCAAAGTGCGTACTTCGCGATTTAGATAATAATTTTCAATGATTTGTCGAGATTGTCTTCTTGAGTACTGTCTTGACATTGAAAATGATTGTTTATTTAGGTGTCTTCTTATAGTCTACCCATTCTTAACATACTCATGAACCTATTGCTTAATTAGGTGTGTGTTATTGTTCAATACAACATTACTTCTTGCAAAATCCAAATTATAGTTAAATCAAGAAATGATATCGTAATTAAAGGAAGAAAATGAATCTATTAGATCCAAAAGTCGAGTTTTTCCCCGGAATAATGCTAATTAAATACATTATTCCCGAAAAACTGCCGGGTTAAGAATAATTCCCAAAATACTGCTGGAATTAATCACGGTTAAGGAAAGCCGCCACTCCAAGTGGCGGCTCTTGTATTACTTCACAAAAGCCGCCGCTCCGAGTGGCGGCTCTTCTCTTATAGTACAAAAACCGCCACTTCAAGTGATGGCTCTTCTCTTACGTCCCATTTTGTGCATGCATAAAACGCAGTATGTTTCAAGAATTTGTTTACCTGTCTTCCCGATTGAATTCAAACTCCTCGCCGGAATTCTCACACCGGAAGTTAGTATGGACTCCTGCTTCAACTTTTCTATATAATAAGGTCTTTGCTTAATATTCGTAGGTGAAAGAGCAAGTCCCAATCCAATGGGGTCGATCTATTCTCCCATTTTGGGTAAAACAAAACAAAATTTTAATTTTAGTAAAATGGGCCGCCGCCTTTAGTCATGCATTGTGTATAGTTGAGGCATTTCTGGGCCGCACACGCCTAGGCGGGCTTATGCTGCGCCTTTTGGAGCCTTTTAGAACACTGAGTGAGGATGCTAACATAACTTTTTAGGTAAGTTGAGAGTATATATATTACATACGACTATTTGCCCAAAATGCTCATCTAATCTAAGTCCATAACTATAAGACCATCTCAAAGAAATGATTTTCTAGTATTTGAAATGTGATTGTTACATATTAAATTTTAAATAATTCAAAGCATAAAAATGATTCATCAACAATAATATTGGGAGATTTCAACAAATAGGAGCAAAACGTACGGATTTTCCAAAACTAAGACCGAAATTCGCGTAAGACTCAACTACACCTGCATTGACCACAATATCCTTACATTTAGGAAATATCACACATTAAATAGATAAAAAATAGACAATAAGTAGACAATAAATAAACACTTTTTCTTCTTTCCTGTGGTCAAACTTTTCAGATCTGAGATTTGCTGTGGTGGAATCAAAGGTGATGACGCCGGAAGCGGCATGGGTGGCGGCGGACGAAGTTACAGTGACACAAGATCCGGCGGTGATGGTGGAGGCCTTGGCAGCGAAGCTGTTTGATGGTGACGAGGTGGCGAAGATGTTTGGCGGCACAGGCACGGTGGCGACAAGGTCTGGCAATGGCGGCGGCGGCGTCTGGCAACGGCGGTGGTTTGTCGCGACGGCCGCAAAATCGAAAATGGGCAGCGAACAAGGAAGAAGGTGGAGGCGTTGAACTTCAATCGGCGAATCTGGGAGCAAAGCCCTGAAGGGCAAATTTGGAAAGTTAGAAATAGGTTTCCTAATCTAAAACTAAATATGTAATATGAATGGAAAAAATATTAGCAGGTATTATTTTTGTAAAAGAGCAAATTTCTCCAATAATATTATTTTCAGAGCAATGGTTTCATCTTGGAGACGCGTATATGTGCTATGTAAATATAAAAGGAAGTTCTTAGCTAGAAGTACGCATTTCTTAGTCCTGTTCTTCGCTCCCTTCTCCTTCGCGCTTCTCACTCATATTCCACCGATCCAGATCTGATCGAAGCAAATATAGTAGATAGACAGAAAAGCAGAGGAGAATTTAATCCAAGCACATCATAATGGCGGTGGTTTCGCCTCTGGCCAAGTATAAGCTTGTGTTTCTCGGCGATCAATCGGTCGGAAAAACTAGCATCATCACTCGCTTCATGTACGATAAATTCGACACAACCTATCAGGTTTGATCCACGTATATCCTCTATTTCTCGCAATTCGTGGCCTTTTCCCGCTCGATTTTCACAAGATCACCATACCATTTGTATTATGGGCTTCTGATCTTGTGGGATGAAGAATTGAAGATCACGTATACGAACAAAATGTCACCTTGTTTTTGGTTAGATTAGCATGAATGTCGTTGGCAGTTTATGATTTCTTGTATGCTCTGCCCTTATTTTTTGACTAACTGGTAAAACACATTTGTATGTGACCCGATTATTGAGAAGAAGAAAAGAGATATTTCTAGAGATCGCAATGGGGCGGATCAGGTACGGGTACACATAAAACCGAAACTGCCCCGTTGGATAAATGTTTGCCCCACAATCGCCCCATTACCCGTTCGGGTAATTTTTATTTGAACCGTACCTGCCCCAATGGGGAATCGGTTTATCCACGGGTACCCGTTTGACCAAATGATACCAAATAACCAATTTGTAACCCTACTTGTTAATGTAAACATCCTTCCGGCATTGTTTCCGATGCTTAAAATCGGCGGAAATGGACCACAAACGGTTAGAAAACATTAGTCAAGTACCAAAAGTGGACAAAGTGAAAGACGTGGACTAAATGTGAAATTAGCCCTAAACTCGTAGGACCAAAAGTGGAATTAATTTTATATTAAAAGCACCATAAAACATACAAAAGTAAATATTCAAGTAATCAAGCAATTTTAGTCCTAAATTCATTAGTATAACAAGCACCTAATATCTCTTGTAACATAATAAAAAAGTAGTAAAAAGAAGAAAGAAGGAACTAAGTCGAATTATTGATAATGAGAAAGATTAGAAGGCACCGACGGTAGAGCCAAACTGCAGACCTAGCATCGTTCCATCCAGAAGAATTGAATAGAGTTGTTCTCACTGTTAAGAAGCGGAGTCTTGAGCCATAAATCCGTAATACACTGAGTTAGGGATGTCAGTGTTTTTGAAGTGGGCCTCTCGTATATTATTCTTTATATGCTTATATGAGATATACGATTTAGTGTACACAATTTAACATATATACTTATTATTCTTATATATAAAAAGTTATAATTTCTTAATAATGTTACGGATCGGGTAACGGTGCGGACACCCGCACCATTAGTGAATGGGGCGGTTTTGGGGCGTATAACGGGGTGGATTAGTATAAAACCATAACTGCACCATTATCCATTTAAAAAAATCGGGTATTCCCCGCCCCGTACCCGTTCCCCAGTCAAATCGGTTTTACCCAGATTGACCAAATCGGTTTGGTGCGGTTATCCAACAGATCGGTCGAAATTGACATCTCTAGATATTTCACCATTCTACACAGTATAGGTTTGCAAAAAGTAAAATCATAAAAATGATTAGAGATGTGTATGGAACACTCAGGTAAAGAGTTAGTGGAATTCAAATTAAGAAAGTCACAAAAGAGACAAAACATTACGAAAAATGAAAGATTGTTCAACAAAATGCAGGTTATCTTGATACAATGTTGCACGGAAAGAATGAGAAATGATACACGTACTGGGCACCATCTTTCAATAGGAAAAAGTTGGGTTTCCATAGAGTTTCTTTATTTTACGTATTCCTGCATCTTCTACCTCCTCTCAAGTGTTTGCCTGCAATTTAAAATACTATACTCCCTAAGAACAATAGATTACCAATAATCCTTTTGCAATTGTTCATGAGTTTTGTGATTGTTTTCCAGACATGCATGTTTGAACCCACTAAATATAATTGTGTATTAAACCAAACAAAATATTGGCTGTGATCTTAAATTCACTAAACATCAATGCATAAGTTCCAATTCAACTTTATACTTTACATGATTTTGAAGCTTTTATGACACTTTGGTCCGATAACGCAGGCTACAATTGGTATTGATTTTTTATCAAAGACAATGTATCTTGAAGACCGAACAGTTCGCTTGCAACTCTGGTGCGTTTTACATTTACCCTTTGTTAATATGATATGATAAGTAAGTATTACAATGCAAATTGTCTTTTAACATTTCATTTCCATCTTCATGCAGGGATACTGCTGGCCAAGAGAGGTTTAGAAGTCTTATTCCAAGCTACATTAGAGATTCTTCTGTTGCGGTTATAGTATATGATGTGGCAAGTGAGTTAGTTATTTATTGGGAAGTGGTCGGGACAGAGATTCCCACACATTTCAGCTTGTTTTGCCATATTCAATATTTTCAGATAACAAAAATGTAGCTTATCGATTTTTATGGCATTTTCTTTTGATTGAAGTATGTGTTCTTCATACAATTGCTCCTGTCAAATGTGACACAATGCTTAATAAGCTAAACAATCAAATTTGCAGACCGTCAATCATTTCTGAACACATCAAAGTGGATTGAGGAAGTACGCACTGAAAGAGGGAGTGATGTCATCATTGTTCTAGTTGGAAACAAAACCGATCTGGTTGACAAAAGGTGAGGCAGAGTTTTCCTCTTTTGTCCATGTTCAGCTAAATGATAATATATGGATATGTTTGTTAATTTTTTCTCTTTACATGTATTTTCATTTTTAAAGCTGTCACTTAGCACGTATTAGCCTACTAGGTATTTCATATCATTACTGTATTTCTTTGATTTTTTTCCCCTATGATGATACTGCAATTTAACAGACAAGTTTCGATAGAAGAAGGAGATTCCAAGGCTCGGGAATGTAATGTCTTGTTTATAGAAACCAGTGCCAAGGCAGGATTTAATATCAAGGTATGTGGTAACTAATTAATTGATAAACTATTTAGTAATTATCACTTTTATTTCTTGATGGCATGGCATATATGAAGAAATGGACCTTCATGTGTTTGGCACTGGTTGGCAACCAAAAATATTTTGAAAACGGTGTCATTTTCCTATACAGTACTGATTCCTATCTTTCCTGGCCAACATTACATTATGGAAATAACGGCTTATTAACTTATTTTCTAGGAAAACATCGCTCATTATGAAGATATTCTCATACAAATAAACAAATCCTTAATTAGATCCACATGATTATAGACAGTACAATACCACAGATCATGGTCATCATAGGCCATATTAAGAAGTGCATAAACACAAAGTATGAGGTTTGAGGTTTTATGCAGCCTTTGTTCCGTAAGATAGCGGCTGCACTGCCAGGGATGGAGACCCTTTCATCAACAAAACAGGAAGACATGGTTGATGTTAATTTGAAGCCAACCACAAATACCTCTTCTGCAGAGCAACAAGGTGGAGGTTGTGCATGCTAATGTTGTTTGTACTAACAAAAAACAAAAGATCGAAGAAAAAATAGTTGGAAATTCCCAAAAGGAAAAAAGTGCAGTTGCATGATCCAGGGCTCGAGTCATGCATGTTCTCTGTGACAAGGGTTCAATATTCTTCTTAGACTGGTGGGTATAGGGGGGCAGGATTTAATGTGGTTGCTACTCTGAAACCTTATTCTCAGTGTTTTTTTTTGTTTTTATTGTTTTGTTTTGCTTACCATCCGAGTGAAGCTAGTATAGTAATATCAGCAAGTTTTGAGTTTGTATGCACAGATATGTGGAAATTTCTAGCTGGATTGAAGTATTCTAAAAGGCTGGATGTTTGAAAATAAGTCCTTAATTTTAAAAACAACCTATTGTGATAATTCTTGCTTCTAAAGGTGGAATCTCATCATGTGAGAATTTCAGATTCTGGTTTGCAGGGCCTGATCTTTCATCTTTGATCAGTTGCTCCAAATTTCACCCCATATGATGTCTTTTGTTTTTCTCACCATAGGCATAAGTTTTTGCATAGGCTATATAGAGAGTACCACCGACTCACCGAGGTGAAGATTCAAATGCCGATTGCCGAAGAGTCCAATTTGTTTATTATATATAAATGAATAGGAATAGCCGGCTGTATGAAATGTTAGTGCATGTACAAACAGAAAGAGTAAGAATGTAAGATAGAACAGATCGATGTCCTGAACTTCATAACAATGTGATATTCATAAGCGGGAATACCTTCTTAGTGTCTAATAGCCAGATTGTGAATTCTGATGAATGAATCCATCCATTTCTTAATGTACATTTATTGTGCATGCATACCAGACAGCAGTGGAACTGTGGAAGGGTCACAACCCCCCAAAAGAAATTATGAGTGTATATATATTTACAGATATCGATACTGTAAAAAAAATGTTCAAAAACGAAGCTTTGGCCCCTATAGTCTAAAATCGATAACATTTCTGACATTGTCACTGCCATATACTTGTATACAATACGGAGTAATACTGTAATACAGCAAGTTCAGCAGAACAGGATCTAATGCAAAAGGCTTACAGTAGGTTTATGCCTGAATGTTTCAGAAATAGAAAGGTTATCTCGCACAGTCGCACTACTTTATCGTATTAGAAACCCATTTTGTATGTAACCAACTTACTGTATTATTATGTTGTTGCAAGAACAATCTAAATGACATTATCGGTATCAGTGTAGTAGTCTTAATATGTTTCAAGTTGTGCAATACGGCCCAATTGACCCTTGTATTGGATAAATAATGGATAGTATGGTCAATTTGTTGTTCCAGAGAAATATGTCAAACCTGGTCAATAGACCTAATTGTACAAATATACCCTATACAATCTTAACAAAAAATAAACTAGATGCCTGATGTTTAGTCAGAATAGAAAGTAAACTTCTGAAGTTCTTTTATGAACCATTTCAATTATGAATTGAATAATGTGAACTTTATTTCATGCCCTTTCACTCGTGGAGCTAAAAAATGACGTTACATCCCTTTCTCAACAGATCACAAGAATAAGGAAACTCAAATGCATAGCTGGAGAAGGTAAAACTCATCTTTTTTTCATTAAAAGTTCAAATCCAAAACTTCCCTCAATTCCTTCAACATTCCAAATCGCTGCGCTGGATTCACTTCGATCACTTCTATGAGATATAATTTATTTATGTTCATATGTTCTCTAAACGAACAATTCAATGGCAATGAATGGCTTTATCGTGGAAATGAATTGCAGCTTTCAGAAAAGTTGTTTTGTTATCGTGTAGGGAGGGGATCTTTGAAGTTTGAAGTTTGTACACATGTGCTCAGTCGGTTAGCACCCAAGGTGCACTTAGGATGGAAGTAAGAAAGTATAGCAATTGAAGATAGAAGTGGTAATTAGGTGGGAAATGTGGAAATGAATAAGCAAACAAATCACTGAACTTAGAATGATTTTAGTTCAATTGAAATATTGACATCTCATCTGAATTTGTTTAAGTTTGATCTAATGTATGTTTAAATTTGATTTGATTTGATTTTATCTAATCTGTTTAAACATGATTTGATCCAAGACCGAAATAAGTCCAACTAAAAGCATTCTAAACAACTGTAAATTACACATAAATAAATCATGACAGATCAGACGAGTTGAAAGAAACTAGATTTGATTTAAATAGTTTAGATCAATAAATTTCAATCCAAGTAAAAACTTATTTATTTCGAAGTGAATGAGTCTTACTCTGAAGAAAATTTAGTAGTCCTCATGAGTGAACATATTTTAGAATAAATTTAAGTTCTATTTATGGAATGTTCGCATATGCATATTTATTTGTGATCTTCAAAATCTTCTATCTTCCCTTATTTACGAGTTACAACCACGTAAACAGGTGCGGCCCCAGGGTGCAACACTGCAACAGGGGCGACTGCCCTAGGTCCAAGAAAAAAGGGGGAAAAAATAGGCCCAAAAATATTTTTTTGTATGTATTGTGAGTAGACTTCTTTTTTAAATTTCTAAGGTCACTTAGTTTGCTTAAGGTTTAATTTTTAAAATAATTGTAAAGTGGCACACCTCTCTTAATTCTCTTCGGATCTCTAGGTTTAATAATCCTTTTAATTACAAAATTACCAAGTTCACTTAGTTGGCTCAAGGTTTAATTTTTAAAATAAATGTAAAGTGTCATACCTCTCTTAATTCTTTTCGGATCTCTAGATTTTATAATCCTTTAATTACAAAATTACCAAGTTATGTTTGGCCTCCCAAGTCCAAAACTCCCAATTCGCAAAGCCCATCCATTCGTTGTTTCCAAATTTCAATATCAACAAGAATAAAGAACGCTGCAAAGCCGTGAGTTCCTCAGCGGTTTGTTAAGATTTGAAGTCAATCATTCAAGGAGCTCAAACGGCGGTTAGTGACAAAAAAATTTCTTCTTTCAAGGCTTCAAACAATCTATCCGTGATAGGGGTGGACCGGTTCTGGTTCGGGCCCGGTTCAAGCCTGGGCCCGGCCGGGCCTCGGTTCATGAAGGGGAGGCTCGGGTAACCTCCGGGTCCGAGTCGGGCCTCGGTTCTAATTTTTTTTTTTTTTGCTTTTCCTAGTTAACCCCCAACCCTCTCCCTCGCCCCCAAACCAACCCTAACCACCTCAAATGGCCCAAAATACCCAACCCAACCCAAAAACTTAAAAAAAATTCAAAAAAAAAAAATGGCCCAGCCCAGGCATGAACCGGCCGGGCCAGTTCACCTTTTGAAGGGCCCGAGCCCGAACCGCCATCCCACCGGGCTGGGTGGCCCGAACCGGCCAACCAACCGGTTCACCGGGCTGGTCCGGGCCCGCACAGTAGCAGTCCGGTCCGGTTCCGGGCCGGTTGGCCCGGCCCGAGTCCACTCCTAATCCGTGATCAATAAATTATTCTTGATAAAATTGGTGAATCAGGTTAGGATAAAGAGAGAAAGAGAAGAAGATTAGAAAAGACAGGGTTAAGTTAGAAGGGATCAATGGAAAATTTTGTTTTTGTTAAGAAATTGAATCTTGAAAATTCCGCGAGAAACATTTTTAAGTAATGTTTTTCAAAATTGAAGATTCTGATGAATTATCTGATGAATTATCTGCGATCGACTATGTCTAAACAAAGGCTTAATGGGTTAGCAATTGAGCATGAGATATTTGAAAAAAATTATTATGAAGCAATTATTGATGATTTTGCTTCACAATGTTCTGCGAAAATGATTTTTAAGTAATGTTTTTCTTTTTATGTGATACTTAATTATGTTGTTACTTTTCACCAAATATATAATTTAAACAATAATAATAATAAGATGAGCTTCATTTTTATTTAATAACCAGATAATTTTATACTCCCTCCTCCGTCCCTTAAAACTTTGACATCTTTCCTTTTTTTGAATGTCCCAAAAAACTTTACCACTTTCCCTTTTAATCATTTTTTTGTGGTTTCTATTATTTCCCTCCTCTGCACAAACCTCAACCACACATAGGGATGGACTCAGGTCCGGGCCGAGTCTGGGTCGGGCCTAGGCCCGGGCAGGCCGGTGGTTCAAAAGTGGTGGACCCGGGACCGGCCCGAGTAACCACCGGGTCCGGGTCCATTATCAATTTTTTTTCCCTCTTCCTAATTAACCCCCCTCCCACCCCCAACCTCCCCCCCCCCCCCCCAAACCACACCAAATGGCCCAAAATACCTAGCCCAACCCGAAAATTAAAAAAAAAATGAAAAAAAAAATAGTTTTGGCCCGAACCGGGCCCGGGCCCGGCCGGGTCGGGCCTTGTTTTGGGTGACCCAAGCTCGGACCGGAAAACCCACGGGTCGGGCCTACACGGACCGGTCACTGACCGGGCCGGTTCCGGGTCGGGCCACCCGGCCCGAGTCCATCAATAACCACACAGTTTTTACTTTATTATTCTCCGTGTCGGTCAACTTTGGCAAAGTTTTAAGGGACGGAGGTAGTAATAAATATTATTTTAAATAAATATAGTTTATTACTCCCTCTGGTTCTTATTAAAGTTCCCAGTTTGACTTCACACATTAAGAAAATGAATTTAACTTTACTGTGGAGTGCACTGTTTGGCACTGTTTGGACACTGTTTGGCACTGTTTTGCATTGTTTTGTTTCCTAAAATGGAAGTGTGAACTTAAATAAGGGACATCCCAAAAAGGAAAGTGGAAACTTTAATAAGAACCGGCGGGAGTACTTGTCTTGAATATAAGCCCAAAATATTATATCGCTCATAGGCTCGAAAATAGACAGGACCGACCCTGCACGTAAATGTAAAAGATGTTTTAAAAATAAATGTTACTCACCCCTTTATCAATTATCTTAAATTCCAGAACCCAACCAAGCCAAACAAAATCACCAGGTTACTCTTGAAAATTCATAACTAGATATATTGATTTTTCTTTATGTGAAAAAAGATACTAGTATATTGATATTTATTATGTTCAGTAATGGGATGAGGGGGCACCGATCATGAGGCATGTGCCTATTTAAAGTTCTGATCCAACCCCTCAAATGGTGGACCAGCACTTGGGCCCATCTTCCATGAGGGATTGCAAAACTCAAAGTAAAATCACCCATCAGAACTCACATTTGAATTATTATTATATTTACAATAAGGAAAACCCTTACCTTTCTTAAAGAAAACACAGCCGGAAAAAAAAGAAAGGAAAAAGGTACAATCCTAGCTAAGCTTTAAGGGACATGCCTCAGCTAAGACGAAGCTGCTGTGGAAAAAAATTGAATCAAATGTTACCACTTTCAGCAATCTGTCTGACTCTCAACGTTAGATATATTAGTACAAGTGTCCCCATGCTCGACCTATAATAGTAAATCACAGTCAAACAATATAGCGTAGTTCCTTACTAGAAAATTAAAGAAACAAGAATGCAGAATTTTGTTGAATTTATCTTACAGAATAGAGAAGAGGAGAACCACTCTTCTTGAACTGAAAGAGGCTGAGCGCTTGTATTTCCTCAATCTGTTGGTAGCCATATCATAGCATCTCTCATTCATGCTTTTATCTATAACAACAACAAATCAAATACCAAGAAACTTGATAAGTTATCTGTAGATCAAGAAGCTTGAAGGTGAAAATTATTTCGTATTCTTTCAAGACTGGAATCGTTGAAGTTATCAATCTAACACTTACAAAGATTCACGAATTTAGGAGTAAAGTACTCCGTATTTATCATAGATAACTTTAAACACAGAAAAAAAGAAGTTTGCGATTCTAAGTCTTGAATGGACAGTTTCAATCATTTGTGTCCTAGGATTGATAAAAGAAAATGTGACTAGCAATGGAAAAAAATGTGATTTTTTATACGTAATACTTCAGTGATTACAATAGTAACTTTAGTGACCAGACCAATGATGTCCAGTTTCATACTGTAATGGCCGTGACGTATACTCACAGTAATTTTAATCACGCTTTTATCCATAAATTTTATTTTGATAAAAACAAAGGAAAGCCCTCTTGATAAAAACTCCATTTAACTATTTATAAAACAAAGATCATACATTTATTAAATTTGTACCTCTTGAGAATAACTTGGGCAACTCAAAGTTGTTATTCATCAACAACTGCATCAACTTTCCTCCCAACATAGATGTAATCTCTCTATGCACCATTCTCTGGAAAACACACAAATTACTTTATTAGTTTACAACCAGTCTAAAGAATTATCTACTGTCTATCTATATGTACATTTTCAGTATTAAAACACCAAAACTGACTTACTGCTAAAGAATCCTCCATCTTCAAGTTCCCACTAATTTCACCACAAAAGTCAGCTTTAGGGCCCTCCAGCTTCCCTTTCTCAATATCCACATCTATGTATGTGGCATGATTTTCAGCATTATTCATCTTCTGTTTTATCTGGCTTCGACAGTTTGACTGAGCATCAATGGCTGCTGAAGCTTTTTCTACCTTTGGGCATGAGAGTGTCCCAAATTGGGGGTTCATAGTATCTCTATCATGAAAGACATCATTAATTGGGCCTTCTTGGCTATGCTGTAATGAGAAAAAAACATTTTTTGAGCACACTCTAATGTCATAAATAATAGGATTGATGTCACTCAACTTAACCATAATGTCCATGAATCAGACTAAAAGAATTATTTAAGCGGAATTCTAAAACACTGAATCAAATCAATTGGCTACTTTCCAGCTTTCCTAAACCAAAGCATTGGAAACCCAAACGCGTCTCTAATATTTCAATGTGGATTCTTAACAAGAGAAGTAGGATAGGATAAGCTAAAATTGATCGAATGAAAAATGATGACCAAGGGAAAGGTCACAACAATATGCCATATATGTGTGTCTTGGAAATAATATGTATAAAAACTAAAAAGTAATAATCAAATATCTGATCTTGATGGACCAGGCTGTGGGAAGGAAAAGACATTGCACTCTGGCAGAGTTCCTTCGAGTGTGATCAAAATATAACTTCAGACCAATTTCTAGCTGTTCATCATACAGAGAAAAGAAAACCCACAGCCTCTGAATCACTCAAGTACTGACATCAGTGGCAAAGAAGTATGTATAATCCTACCTTCACTAGATAGGTACAACAGCAAATTACGAAAGTTGGATAAATAATATAAATATAAAACTCAAACTTAATCAAAAACAACACGCAATGATGAATGTTTTGTTTTTGCATTTCTCATCTCATGATTGCATCCGATTTGGATTTAGTTTATGGTGATAATTATTCCAGTTCTCTGTATAAACATAAATACATACGGAGTAGTATATGCATAATTCTGTTTGCAATAAGTAGTTTTAGTCAACTTTTTCATTTGCAGAAAGAAGAAAAAACAGCTCAAATAAAACTTTTCCATCCATCTTAATTTTTAGAACTTTTATTTTACCTTGTGATATTGCTTGACTTTTTTGCCCAGACTTTTTTGTTCACACTTACCTTCCACCTTTTTATATTTTTTTTCCTCTTTAAACTTTTCACCCCAAATATTTTCAAAAGAATTGTCCTACGTACCCCAAAAAACTATGGAGCACATAAAAGGAAAATTCTTGACATGAATTATCTGTAGCCTGTAGGACCATTTATACATTTGTTACATGTGTAAAAAATGAACATTCGTTTTTTTCCTTGTATAGAAAGTGTACTTACGAATTAAGTAATACGCTCTAAAGATGTTTGCTAAAAAAAGTACCTTCTGAATTAAATCATCCATGATCTATGGACTATGGATCGAAATGTCATATCCTACTTCTCATGCCTTATTGGTTTGTAATTAATTTTAGGCTTTTAGCTAATATTAATTAATTCTTTCTCTGTTGAGCAAGAAGCAAGGAATAGCAAAGAAGCCCTCCTTCAGTGTATTTTTGTCAATGCATTCCCTGTAGTCCTATACCTTTCACGGACCATTTCCTGATTCCCATACCCATAGCTTTCATTCATGTATGGTTGATAAAAACAGATGATATTTTACATACCAATTCTAGCTTATTTTAGTCCACTAACGCATTTATGTAATTTAGTCTTCGTTTCAAAGGTATGTTTCTCCGCTTAAAAGCAGGATTTTCACCACAACAGCTTATATAAATGTGGTTGTCGAATAAGCTTTGATTGGGAAAAGAATAGTGTATTACTAACTTTTTAAGTCAAATGGTTGAAATTAATGAAAATAACATAATAAAGCTCCACTTTTAGATAATCGTATCATGTCTAATATATTAAAAAGAGGTAATGGCCGTCGCCATAGGTCTAATACATAATCCTCGAAATTGCATAAAAAGGGTCAAATAAGTCCTTACTGTCTGGCCGTCGTCATAGGTTTTCGTTGGAATTTTTTGATAAAATTTTTTAAGCATCTTATTAAGTCTAGTTTACTTGTACCAAATTTCAACTAAAATTTCAATCGGGAAGGCATTCAAATGAATTCTTGAAGGTAACTGCGCAATTATCTTCAAGACTTCATTTGAGTGCCTTCTCGATTGAAGTTTTAGCTGAAATTTCATATAAGTAAACTAGACTTGATGAATAAGATGCTCAAAAAAATTCATCAAACAATTCCAACGAGAACCGCCCTAATTGCGACGTCCCGACAGAGACTCCTATATAAGGACTTATTTGAACCTTTTTATGCAACTTCAAGGACGGATCTGAGGCTTACCTCATACTATCGTATTAAAAATGCTGAAGATGACAATTCATAAATAGTCAAAAACTTTACTAAATTTGACCATTTCACCATTGGCTTCATCAACCAGAAACCATAACCAAACAACGGAAAAAGATACACCATAACGATAAGTCTAGGAGACTGAATTAACGATTGAACCTTCAACCTTTGCCTCTTCCTATTCGTCCATCTCGGAGGAGAATACCGGAGAAATAGAGATTCAGTTGTACACAGATGCCAGCAAAATATTGTTAATAAACAGATCCACAAACACGCAGCTAACGAATCGGAAAAATAATCTTAGAGCGCGCAGAAATCGGAGAGAAGACGGAAGCCAAGATAAAAGGCAAAGAACAACAAACAAAAGGCAGCACAAACTACACAGGATGAAATAGCCAAAGCAAAAACTCAAATACGGATTGCACTATTGCAGTATGCAAATAATTAAATGAAAAACTCACATCTACACTTGAATCCGCCGCCATTGATGAAGAGACTGCGAGTTGCAGAAGATGAAGTTGTGTAAGGTCAAGAGCTCAAACGCATTGCAGTTTCTCGGCGGCGTAAATTCGAATGCATTTGAGATGTTAACGTTGATATATAGACTCCATGGAAGGAAGCGAAGATGCAGACAGGGGAGGTGTAGGGCGCACTGTTAAAGGCCAACGTACTGCGCCAGAAAAGCTCTCAAATCACGACAAACATTTTCGCATCTTTTTTACTCTTTTCTGTGCAATGGTGCTCTTCTGACTTACTCTTTTATTTCTCTCCTTTTAATTTATATACTTTACCCTCCAAACTCATTCAAACTTTTCTTGTTATTAGGTAGGAATTTAATTCTTTTCCTGTCTAATATTTATCTTCTAGAATTCCATTGTTTCTCAGACAGAAAGAAGTACTTCAAATCAATTGGAAAGCATATTAGATTATGTGCTAACCATTTTTTCTTGCCATTTAGTAAGGAAAAACGTACTTTACTTTAAATATTACTTCCTCCGGTTCTTATTTAAGTTCTTAGTTTGACTTCACACATATTAAGAAAATGAATTTGACTTTACTGTGGAGTGCACTGTTTGACACTGTTTGGACACTGTTTGACACTGTTTGGCACTGTTTTGCACTGTTTTGTTTCCTAAAATGGAAGTGTGAACTTAAATAAGGGACATCCCAAAAAGGAAAGTGGGAACTTTAATAAGAACCGGAGGGAGTATTAAGTAGGAGAATGTTTTCACTAGAATTGAAATTTCCTACTCCTATCAGGTCTCTGTTTAGGTCGAAATGATCTGTTTAAGGTTATGTTTGGATGACCATTTATGCTCTAAATGAGCTGAAATTTAATAGACTTGGACAATTTAATTTTATCATGTCAGGCGACAGTACCCGATGAGCAATGAAACGACACCGTAATAATCATTTTAATTTTGGGTGAAATGGTATCTTGAGTTAATTGTCATGTTAGATAGTGTTTGGGTGTTTAAAGTGTAGTTTAAAATGTCACCGAGGGTCTAGGATAGGATCGATAACAATCAGGGTCGGTTTAGGGCGAAAAGGGACGTTTTCGGCACCAGGGGAATCCCAGACTGGCGTCGGTGGGACCCAGACCGGTGCCGGTCCAAAACAGAACATTAGGCGGTGGAAAGGTAGGGCAACCGGCGTCGGTCCGGGCAATTTTTGCCCAAGTCGGTCAGCACCGTATTTAAACGGGAAAAATCTCATTTTCCCCCAAAACGAAGCCCTGCTAGACTCCATCTCTCTTAAGTGATTCCAAACACTTGCTAGACTAATTCAAGCTCAAATCAAATCTATTCTTCATCAAGGACCATCACTTGGTAAGGTTTTACACTTAACATGAAGTATTTTTACTATATTTGTATCTATAGTTCTTGGTTGTGAATTTTGCTAGGGTTGATTGATTTTAGGTTGATTCTAGGAAATCTAATGGATTTTCTTAATAATAATGTTGTTATGGAGTTGTTGTTCATCTTTGATTAAAAACCCTTGTGAAATTTGAGTATCCGATTAAACCGAAATTATACCCGATTGGAGATAAGAATTTGGTAGTTTTGCTTACTCTTTGAGGTTGATAATAAGTAGATATCTAGAGTTCTTGATATTATACTAATTAGTTAGTTGATATAATCTCTTGGTTTGTGAGTTTCAATCGGTGCTAGGTTATCTAGCTACCTTGAAGGCATGTCCGAGTTATCTAACTTTCCCTCATCTTTAAGTCTAGGGATATTTTTAAAAGGCAAGAATTTAAGTTTGACTAAATGTGAAATTATGTTGATCAAGTGAAAATCATATATATAGTTGCTCATCGAAGATTCGTTGCTCGTGGATGCTGGACACGCACACACAAGAGTAAATACTCCGTAGGAACCAGGTATGTCACCACCACCTATACATGATAGTTCTAGATAAAGTATGGAAGATTAGCTAATTGAGAATTTGATATATGTGCTTGGACGCTTGAAATTTGTATGACATGAGATATGTGGATTTCTATGTATGTGCTTGAATACTTGAAGTTTATATGGCATGAGATATGTGGTGTTAATTGTGGAATTAGTAAACTATCAAAGGTAAGGTATTCATGTTCTATGTTTGATTTTGGTTTGGGTTCATATGGAACCAACATGAAAGAAAGTTATGATGATAATGAAAGTAATGAAAGATAAGTAATGTTACAAGGTAGTCGTGCCCCCAAGTAACTACCTGAGCTGAACGGAGCGGGACATCCTTCCGCAGGGAGTCCCGGCGTTGCTTCTGATGGATATGGGCTAGCTACCCAAAGTCATCAGCCCGGGCCAGGACACGAACTACAGGCTCATAAAGTCAAGGAATAAGATAAGAAGAAAGAATGATGGATAAGGAAATCTCTTGGTGTTTGATACATGAATGCTTATGTGTTGTTATCATGTGTGATTATAGTATATGTGTGGTGTATTCAACATGTGTATCTATTTATGATTAGCTAATGTTCCCTAAATATTTTAGTGGATAAAATGGTGACTTACTAAGCATTTTTGCTTATGAGAATTCTATTCTCTTATGTTCTCATGTATAGGTAATAAACGAGGTACAGAAGCCCGAGAGAATGTATGGAGCCGGTGACAATGTTTTGGATGGATTAACGGAGAAGATCGGGCAATCTATTATGTTTTGTTTTTAGTACTATGGTACTCCTATGGATTATTTAAATACTTGTTTTGAAATTCTGATCAGGTGTAAATGTTTTGTTTAAAGACAGATTCCTTTGGTTATTTGATGTTTTCATTATGAGATTTGGATATGAACATAAGATATAAAGTTTCATGAAGAGACTTTGTATCTTTATTTCCGCTTTGTTTATCGAGTCTCTTTTACGTTTGAGTATCGTAATGGCCGTATTGGAGACAGTCGTTACAATGGATGACTATTCCGAGTCCTTTCCGCAGAAAATGACCTCGATCCACAAAACATTTATACTAAAACATTTATTTTATGGTGATTTTATATTTCCAGTCGTGACTTCAACTATATTGCCAAAAATGTCTACAATATTCAGCTAGCATTTTAGTTTCAGCAACTTCTATCTAGTTCCGGACATCAGTCTCTGTGTCAAATAATAGACTCCAACTTCAGGTCGTTGTTTCAAATTAAAACATAATGTAGGTATGATCTCATTAATTTATGGTGTATGTGTAAGTTTGATTTGGTCTGGTTAAATTTAATCGCGTATGATAATGAGACTTAAACAAGTCTAAGTGAAATATGTTTACTCATATTATCATAATCATTAGTTTAAGATTTTTTTGTAAAGTTCTATTACCTCCGTCCCTTAAAACTTTGTTACCTCGTAAAGTTTGGACCATGATTCTAATTAGTATATTATTATGAAGTTATAAATTTTATACTTTAAAAAAATACTTTTAACAAAAAATATTTTCTTATAACTTTTATAATAAAGTAGTTTTCAATAAAAATACATAGTTGATCAAAGTATTAAAGATGCTAAAGTTTTAAGGAACGAGGAGTGTAATGCGCAGATCAAATTCAGTGTTTGATGACGAACAAGGTAATTGAGACATGACAGGATCCGCCATTCGGCCACCTCCATTTGAGATGCTTCCCGATGGAACTTTATATTTGATGAAGTTTTTCGAGAATGTTCTTCATGAATTGAAGTATAGATTATGGGGTGGAACTTTATATGTACACTAAGCTTTTCTCACTTGAACTAATATATATTTAATGGGGTGGGTTTTAATACATAGAAGTCTTGTAATGAAAAGTGAGAAGTGATCTAACCCCTTGATCACTTAATAAATGATGGAATAGATCAAAATTCACGATGGAAAAAATGTTAAACCTAAATGTGTAACTAATAGTAAAAGTGCATATACGATAGGTAAAAGTATACATTCACCTCATTACAGAATCACAAAGTGGTTTATATAATTGTTATTTTAATTCAAAAAGTGATGCACTTTTGTGTTACTCAAATGCACTTTTTCTCTATACCCGTGAACATTTATCATTTTATTTTCCAAAAACGTTCCAAGTATTTACATTTCTGCCACCACGTTTGTCACTTCAAAATTGATCCGATTCACTTATTTTCTCATTTTAACGGTTAAGATTACTTTTGGGAGAACTACCAAATAAGCCCTCTAACTTTCATAAAAAGTGCAAATAAGCCTTTTTATGGGAGGCTCTGTCCGGCCATCGCCATTTGGGGCGGTTTCCGGTGGAATTTTTGATGAATTTTTTTTAGCATCTTCTTCATTAAGTCTAGTTTACTCATACCAAAGTTCAGCTCAAAATTCAATCGGGAAGGCAGTCAAATGATTTTTTGAAGATAACAGCGCAGTTAGGCAGCGCGGTATATTTCAGAAAATCATTTGACTGTCTTTTCGATTGAATTTTTAGCTGAAATTTGGTATAGTTAAACTAGACTTGATGAAGAAGATGCTCAAAAAATTTAATCAAAAAATTCCACTGGAAACCGCTCCAAATGGCATCAGACGGACAAAGCCTCCGGTAAAAGGGCTTATTTGCACTTTTCATGAAAGTTCGAGGGCTTATTTGATAGTTCTCCCATTACTTTTCATTTTTCATACAATGAGTACTTTATATTTGAAACACCCTGTTTATATACGTGAATCAAGGTTTTTTTAGAAACTCTTTTTAAAACGGTGATAATTATAGAGACGTTGGTGATTTTGGAATGGGTTGGATTATTTGAACCTATTGAAATGATGAAATTTTGGACGTGACGTTTAATTATTTGAATTGGCTGAATTTTGAAAAAATGTTTAAGATATACGCTAATAAAATAAAGTAAAATTACACGGAGTATGAAAAATAGCTAAAAATTGATCTAAAAATAGCTATAAAGTTGTATTCAACAATTCCAATCAATTTTACTAGAAAAGTCTTACATATTTTTTTTACGAACAATTACATAGAGCGCGTTTGGTAGGTCGATCAGTTTTTCGGTTTATCAACCAACTTTTTCATCAAACACGTAATTTTTTATTTTGAATTCTGAATTGCGTAATAATAAGAAAAAAG